TTTTGGAAAATTTTCCCTTTGTTTTGTGCTACTGGTAGGATGGCGTTTCAGTGGATATCCTGTGCAGACAGATTGTACGGGAAGTTGACCCTTAGTTTTCTGAGAACAAAAGACTGAGTGGGGAAAAAAGAAGGAAGGAAGGAAATAAGATCTTTTGACTTGATCATAAAGGTTATAAATCCAGAGATGGGCAGAAGGGGAGTGGGGGATAAAAAGGATTGTTTCCCATTATGGTTCTTTAGTACTTTGGCTTCAAAAATTACTTTTATCCTGTTTTTATTATTTTGTATACTTGAGAAATGTATAGTACTGTTTGGTCTGAATATGGGATGAACAAAAGTAGGTTTATAGTTGTTCGTATGGAAAATAATAGAATAATTAATAAATAATACAAGAATAAACTGTTTTGCATACTCATATCTGTACTTACTTTTGCCTAACCCTTTATATCTTTTAAGTTTATATAAGATTGTGTCGTAGGTCTCATTCTTTTTTCTCCTTTTGTCAAATAACATGGTTTTTAATAAGCTGACTTGCCTTTAACAATCCTCCTTTGAGCTTGTTGGAGTTCCTCTTCAGTACATGTGAGCTACACGTCACAGACATGTCTTGCACATTGACAGTCTGTCACTCTACTGTCTTCTGTGCAGAATTTCTGCTCATCCAATTTTAATGCTTTATCTTCTTTGAAACCTTTATTGACTTCAGAGCTTTGTGTTCTATTTTGTCCTCTGAGAGCATCCTTTGAGTACATGATTCATTTATTCAACATTTTTTTTGAGAGCCCCTTATATACATGCATTATTCTGGATGCTTGTAATTTGTCAGTGACCAAAGCAGACAGAAATTGCTGTCCTCATAAAACTGGTATTTTGGTTGGGGGAGTTAATTAATACACATGAGTATAAAAAAAAGTAAATTATATATTTTGTGGTATTAAGAGCTATGGAGAGAAATAAATTGGGAAGGGAGACATGGGGAATGTGGGAGTGTTGTCAGGAATAGATGTATTTTAAAATAAGACAGTAAAAAAAATACTGCCCCGAGGGGGTAACATTTGAGTAAAGTGTCATGTGGATATCTTGGGGAAGAATGGTTTCAGCGGTTCTCAACCTGTGGGTCACGACTCCTTTGGTGGTCGAACGACTCTTTCACAGGGGTCGCCTAATACGTTCTGCATATCAGATATTTACGTTACGATTTATAACAGTAGCAAAATTACAGTTATGAAGTAGCAACGAAAATAATTTTATGGTTGGGGGTCACCACAACATGAGGAACTGTATTAAAGGGTCGCGGCATTAGGAAGGTTGAGACCACTGGTTTAAGTAGAAGGTAAAGCCAGTACAAAGGTCCCAAGGCCTGCCTTGTTCAGGGAAGGCCAGTGGTCAGAATGGTGTATATTAGGGGAGTAGGAGTTGGAAGATGAATTGGGTAAGACAAGTTGTAAAAGGTCTTGTAGGCCCTTGTTAGGACTTTGGTTTTTACTATAAGATATAGGGAGCCATCTAAGATTTTGAGCAGAGGAGTAATACAGTCTGATTTATGCTTTAAAAACTGGGTGGTGTGCCCTAGCCTGTTTAGCTCAGTGGATTGAGCATAGTGCACGCCCCCTGCGCTCCCCCTCCAGCCCTCAGACTGAAGGGCCCCAGATTTGATTCAGTCAAGGGCATGTACTTTGGTTGCAGGCTTGATCCCTGGCCCTGGTTGGGGTGCGTGCAGGAGGCAACTAATTGATGTGTCTCACATTGATGTTTCTCTCTCTGTGTCTTTCCCTCTCAGTGGGAAAAATATTCTGGTGAGGATTAACAACAACAACAACCTGGCTGGTGTGTTGAGAACAGACAGTAGAAAACAAGGATAGAAGCAATGGAGATCAGTTAGGATAGTGAAATAATCTAGGTAAGAGATGATGGTTATGACAGGGTGGTAGTAGTGGAGGGGGTGAGAAAGGAATAGATTCTGAATATTGAAAGCAGTGCCAATAAAATTTCCTGATGGGTTAGTTGTGATATGTGAGTGCAAAAAAGGAATCATAAATGATTCCAAATTTTGTTTGAAAATTTTTTTCTTTATTGATTAAGGTATTACATATGTGTCCTTATCGCCCCCATTGACTCCTCACCCCCACACTCATGCCCTCACCCCCTGCTGTCTGTGTCCATTGGATTTGCTTATATGCATGCATACAAGTCCTTTGGTTGATCTCTTCCTCTTCCTCCCACTCTCCCCTACCTTGCCTCTGAAGTTTGACGGTCTGATTGATGCTTCTCTGTCTCTGGATCTATTTTTGTTCATCAGTTTATGTTAATCATTAAATCCCACATATAAGTGAGGTCATGTGATATTTATCTTTCTCCAACTGGCTTATTTCGCTTAGCATAATGCTCTCCAGTTCCATCCATGCTGTTGCAAATGGTAAAAGTTCCTTCTTTTTTATAGCAGCGTAGTATTCCATTGTGTAGATGTACCATAGTTTTTTAATCCACTCATCTGCTGATGGGCTCGTGGGCTTTTTCCAAATCTTAGCTGTTGTAAATTGTGCTGCTATGAACATAGGGGTGCACGTATCCTTTCTGATCGGTGTTTCTGGTTTCTTGGGATATATTCCTAGAAGTGGTATCACTGGGTCAAATGGGAGTTCCATTTTTAACTTTTTGAGGAAACTCCATACTGTTCTCCACAGTGGCTGCACCAGTCTGCATTCCCACCAGCAGTGCACAAGGGTTCCTTTTTCTCTGTATCCTTGCAAGCACTTGTCGTTTGTTGATTTGTTGATGATAGCCATTCTGACAGGTGTGAGATGGTACTGCATTTTTGTTTTGATTTGCATCTCTCGGATGATTAGTGACTTTGAGCATGTTTTCATATGCCTCTTGGCCTTCCTTATGCCCTCTTTCGAAAAGTATCTATTTAGGTCCGTTGCCCATTTTTTATTGGGTTGTTTATCTTCCTTTTGTTAAGGTGTAGGAGAGAGTCCAAGGTTTTTCGTCATCCCCCTCTCACCACCCAGCTTTATTGATATAGTTGACATACAAGAATATGTAAGTGTAAGGTTTATGATATGTTGATTTGATACACTTGTGTATTGCAAAATGATTACCACAAGAGCCTTAGCTAATACACCCATTACATCACATAATAACCATTTCTTTTTCTGTGGTGAAAACATTTAAGATCTACTCTCAGTAACTTTCAAGTATATAGTACAGTATTATTAACTATAATCACTATGCTGTACATTAGACTCCTAGAACTTGCTCATCTTATAGCTAGAAGTTTGTACTCAAGCTTTCAAGGTTTTTGGTCTGAGCAACTAAAAAGTTGAAATTGCCATAAACTGTGATGGGGAATTCTGTGGAGAAGCAGATTTGGGGGAGGGAATGGAGAGTAGTTTTTTTATAGTACAAATAGTGGTCTATAATCTTTATATTCTGAAGCTCAGCATAAGGCTATTGAATAGTAGGTGTTCATTAACAGATGTTCACTATAATTATTAATTTTGTAAACTTTAAATTATAATATACTGTGTTTCACAAAGTAAGATATAAATGTATGGTTTTTGCTGTTTTGGGGTTGGTTTAAGAGTTGGTTTTAGTGTCTACTTGATTACTGTTTCTAACTTGGTCATCTATAATAATAAAAGTGTAATATGCAAATCAATCGAACGGCCAAACAGCAGGACCTTCCAGACGACCTTCCAGATGACCTTTTGAACAAAGCCAGGGCCACGAGGGCCTACCCTTGCACAAGTTTTGTGCATCGGACCTTTAGTGGATAATACAGAAGTTAAGCTACCCTTGATTTTTGTTCCTCTTATAATTTCAAACAAGGGTCTTATACTTAAAAAGAAGGAAATGCACTTGAATTGTTTGATAAACATTAAACAGAGTAATAATCATGTTACTGCCATCACTGGCAAGAAACATCAGTGTGGATCATGTTATGTTTAGTATGGAACCTCATAAATATTGTGAATATTCTTTGTACTTCTTTTTATGTTAATAAAGGGTTGTCATTTCATAACCCAATGGAAATTCTGCTAAAGTAGATAATTTTTCATTAGAATAAATAATAACATAGAACATGTGGCCAGTTTAAAGGATGTTTTATATAATACAGTGTTTTGTTCATTTTATAATTCTAATTCCCAGTCACTATAACTCTGCCTTTAAACAAAGAGCAACACATTTGTTTCAAATTAACTGTCAGGACATCTGGACATATCTTTAGTTTGTCATAGTTATTCTAAATTTAAAATAAAATTTAATTAGCTGTGGAATTTTAAATACATATTTCTTTTAAGAGAAGAAGGAATGTGATGAAGTGAAATAAACTCTAAAACTGTTAAGAATTACAGATCAACCTACATCAGGGATTTCTGTCTATTTCATGTATAGACAGTGATGCAGCCATTTTTAAAACATTGGTTAATGCTATTTTAATATTAAAATACATGCCATTGTTTTCTGTCACTTATATTTTTGTGTAATTTGGTCATTCATTCAATCAACAGTTATTGAACACATATAACTCCTTGCTAGAAAGAAAAAGTGCCATTCTTATGCCAAAGAATACTTTGTAAGGTTTGGGAGACAAACATGAATTGAGGATGTAGTAAAGATAAAGATAGAAGGTATTACTACAGCAAATGCAATGTTTTTTTGAGAGCACTAGGAGGAGGAATCTATGAGGCTTCTTAGGGGAGGTTATTGGAGCTGAGTGTTATGAAATGAGTCAGCCAGTCAAGAAAAGTGTGGAATGAGACCACATTCCAGATAGACAGGACAGTGTGAACAAAGGCAAAAAGATAGGAAGCATCACAGTGTATGTTAACATTTAAAATTTGAGATGTGGAGTGGGTGGAGGTAAAGCTAGAGAAATAAGAGACCTGATCTTAAAGCCCTTGAAGACCATATTAAAGAGATTTTAGCTTGATGGTAAACTATTGAAGAAAAATCTTAAGAAGAGTGACATGGTCAAATTTTTGTTTTGAATAGATCACTTTGCCAGCTGTGTGGAGGATGGATTTGAGGGAGACAAGACTGGAGGCAGTAGTCCAGGTGAGAGACGATGGGGATTTGAACTAAGGCATTGGCTATAGAGATGGAGAGGAGGGAATGGATTTGAAAAGAAATAAAACCACAGATTAAAGGCTTATTCTCCTGTAAATATGATAAAAACCAGTTTTAAATTAAAAATGATTGGAGGAGAAAGAGAGACATAATAGAAAAGTTAGTGGCACATAGCTGCTAAAAATAATTCCAGTTCTTAAGAAAATTGCTACTAGAAAAACAGAGTATTTTTTGTATAATTGACCTGGGCTGTAAAAAGATGTTTTGTATAGTATGACTAAACTTAAGAACCATAAAGCCTTGAGGAAGAAACCAGGTCTTACAAGGCTTTCACCATTACACATGACAGAAACTCAATAAATGTACATTGTTGGTGATATTTTCTAGAGCATTCATTTAAGTTCCTATTTTACAAAAATGTATCACCAAGGAAAAGAAAACAGGGTAGAATTTTTTTCATTAAAACAACAATTGTAAACTATTATAGACAGCGTTGCATGGTAACACAAAATTATTTTGGAATGGTGAGAATATTGTTTGAAACCAAAACATTTTTCTGTTGTTTAACAGGTAATTTTAGGATTGTTTTTTCTAGAAGCACTATTTTTACATGTAAATGGAGGATCTGGATTTACACAATATGTACATATTTCTTAAAATCTGTTATCTTTTTCACAATTTGTTTTATATGGACAGAGTAAGGGAAGGAGGGGAGTTTGGGAGGATTTATAAAACATAACTATTCCTTCTTAAAACCACCACTCCACCATAACAAAATATTGTATTTTTATAAAACAAATTGCCAGTTCTTTTTGAGATTTCTTCTTTCCATTTTGAGAAAACTGCTTTTCCTGTTAATTTCTGATTTAGGTGACTGCATATAAATCACAGTTAACTGTGTTCTTTTCATTTTGTCTTTTCTCTATCTTGTTACATTTTCAACAAGTAGATTTCTCTTGGGTTTAGGGGACATTTGCTCATTCTTCATTATTCTACAACTATATAGTTATGTCCTTCCCTGGAGCCGTCCATCTATGCCAGCAGCTAAAATACTGCCTACTTACTGAATTCAAATGAATTTCCAGCTGTGAATTTCAGATGAACTTACTGTGAATTTCTTTTTCCTCTTATGTCTTTCAGAAGCCTTGCACCGCCCCTATGGTTGTGATGTTGAACCCCAAGCACTGAACGAGGCCATCAGGTGGAGCTCCAAGGAAAACTTGCTGGGAGCCACTGAGAGTGATCCTAATCTCTTTGTTGCACTTTATGATTTTGTAGCAAGTGGTGATAACACACTCAGCATCACTAAAGGTGAGCTTCTGAGTAATACCCCTTTTCAGTTTTCTTTAGTGGATAGGAGATAAAGGGGTCTGTTCTAGATTCTGCCTCTAAAATTAGCTAGGTGATCTGGGCCCAGATGCTTTTGGTTCATAATTGTCTGTTTTTAAAAAGTGAGAATATATTTTTCATTGATTCTAGAGAGAAGAGGAGAGAGAGGGAGTGGGTGAGGTAGAGGGAGAGAGAGAAAAAAAAGAAAGAAACATTGATCAGTTGCCTTATGTGCATACACCCTTCCAGGGCTCGAACCTGAAACCCAGGTATGTGACCTAACTGGGAATCGAACCCCAGACCCTTCAGTGCACAGGGTGGAACTCAAACCACCTGGCAACACCGGCCAGGGTGTAATTTTTTTTTTAACTTGTGTATGGGGTAATGCCACTTTGTCTACTTTATAGGCTTATTAAGGATAAAATGAGATAAAGTATTTTAGAAAAAACACCATACAATATACACATAAACTTTCCTTATTCTCAGAATTTATGTTATATGTAATATGCCAGCATTCATCTGCTGCGGAGGTAGGGTTCACTGTACATCTCTTCTCATTGATTGAATCATGTTGTCCGTGACTGGCTGCCTGTCTGAGAACTGTTTGTTATCAGTTTGCAATGAGATTAAAAATTGTACCCAAAATGCAAACCAACTACATCACCAAGTACACTATTATTTAGTTCAGCTGACATTTCTTTCTTTCTTTCTTTCTTTTTTTCTTTCTTTCTTTCTTTCTTTCTTTCTTTCTTTCTTTCTTTCTTTCTTTCTTTCTTTCTTTCTTTCTTTCTTTCTTTCTTTCTTTCTTTTTTTTAGCAAGACTTTTGGCATGAAGAAAGTAGTCTAGTGATTCACAGTCTGGAATAAGCCTCTTATCTTATTGTGGACTTGCCGTGAGCAGCACTGGCCTAGGCCAGTGGTCGGCAAACCGCAGCTCGCGAGCTACATGCGGCTCTTTGGCCCCTTGAGTGTGGCTCTTCCACAAAATACCACGTGCAGGTGCGCACGTACAGTGCAATTGAAACTTCGTGGCCCACCCTAACCAGTTTGGCTCAGTGGATAGAGCATTGGCCTGCGGACTGAAGGGTCCCAGGTTTGATCCTGGTCAAGGGCATGTACCCTGGTTGCGGCACATCCCCAGTAGGAGATGTGCAGGAGGCAGCGGATCGATGTTTCTCTCTCATCGATGTTTCTAACTCTCTATACCTCTCCCTTCCCTTCTGTAAAAAATCAATAAAATATATTTTTTTAAAAAAGAAAGAAACTTTGTGGCCCATTGGCAGAAGTAGGTTTTCGGCCTGGGTGAGTCTATTTTGAAGAAGTGGCGTTAGAAGAAGTGGGGGTACGTTCGCTGAGGTTGACCCATCAGATTGAGGACGTTTTTAGCAAAGGCCAGTTTAGGAGTGCTGTTGATATTTGGCTCTGTTGACTAATGAGTTTGCCGACCACTGGCCTAGGAAATTTATCTCTCATTTGTGTTTATATGGATCAGTTTATAAGGAACAGTACGAAGTGTTTATTGTAGTAATATTCTCAGATTAGTTTATTTCGGTAGTAAATTCTTATAAAAGGGAACACTAAGAACATGACCAAATAAAATCATCCATTATTGGTTTTTTGAACAAGGATAGAAAATATGAAACTTTTATGAGAAAGAAATAGAAGAATGGGAGGTTGTCATTGTGTACATGAATTGGATTGCTAATTTGCCTAAGTTCTTATCTTTTGAACTTACTGGGAAAAAATATATTTCAGGAGAATTTTTCACTCCACAAAACTGTCATGTTAAGTAATTATTTGTCAAACATATGCCTTTTAAAAAATATATTTTTTTATTGATTTCAGAGAGGAAGGGAGAGGGAGAGAGATAGAAGCATCAATGATGAGTGAGAATCATTGATTGGCTGCCTCCTGGGGATCCTCCTGAGAGTTGAGCCTGCAACCCAGGCATGTGCTCTGACCAGGAATTGAACTGTGACCTCCTGGTTCATAGGTTGACTCTCAAACACTGAGCCACACCAGCTGGGCCAAATATATTCCTTTTATTTGTCACATTCAGAATGAGGTAGATATTAATTGGGAGTGGACATACCAAATTAAGGACATAAGCCTCCATTCAAGGAATGTTACCTTTACGTAAAATTTTTATATATATATCAGTTTTTGAAATTTGGCCAGATTCATCAAAAGCAGAAATGCTAAAAACTGAGTTTCTCACCTTAGCTGATTTGACTTAGTGGATAGAGCATTGGTCTACAGACTGAATGAAGGGTCCCAGGTTTGATTCTGGTCAAGGGCACATGCCCGGGTTGCGGGCTTGATCCCCAATACGGGGCGTGCACAAGGCAGCCGATCAATGATTCTCTCTCATCATTGATGTTTGTATCTCCCCCTTCTCCCTTCCTCTCTGAAATAAATAAAAATATTTTTAAATAAAACAAACAAAAAAACCCTGAGTTTCTCAAACTGGGGTATTAATATGTCCCAGAGTGAGTGTGATGGCATGTGTGCATGAGCTGGAGGTTCCAAAGGCACAAGAAAAGTAAAGTGCATTATTCCTCGTGTCAATTTACCTAAAGGTTTTGGGTAGTTTTGGGGGTGGGATGGATGTGTGAGAGATGTGTGTTTCTGCATTGGGATGAAAGTTTTAGGATAAAACAAAGGACTTCATAGAAATTTATTCTTGTGGTTGTCTTTTTGAGTTACAATAGATCCTGATACCTTTACTGATATGTCAGTGGAGAAGTTTGTGAAGCTGTGACTCAGAACATTCTTTCCTAGATATAATTTGCATGTCAGTATTTTCCAAGATAGCTCAGTCACTGAGGAAACATTGATAAAGTTTGAGTCTTCAGTTACCAGTTGTGGCAACCACTAGTGTGCAGCTCAAGGAATAGGATTCCCTTTACCTTACGGCCAGCAGGGATTTCTCATAAAACCAATGAAATGCCAGATTTTTATATCAGGTCCTTATTAATATGAAGTTATGCTAAAGCTTTTTAATTATTTTAAATATAAGAAAATGTATTTAAAAAATAAAATAATTATTATTTTACTTCCCTTTGTTTGAAGATAGTAATTTGCTTGAAGTAAGAAACAAAGTTCTACCAGGATTGCTCTATCAATAGGGTAATGTTTTGTATCCCTACGAGCTCAGACCCCTGTCAGTTTCCTTCCAGAGTAGAAAATTCTTCTCCTAACTGCCAAAAAGAGGGGAAATCAGACAAAAACCTAGGGTGTTTCACTGTAGCCTAATTTGATTACCGATCATTACCAGTTCTTTATAAGGAAGCAATAATAATATGCTTAGTAAGATACTTACTGTTTTATCTTTTCTAGTTCTCAGGGAGTAAAAGAGAAAAGCTACAGCGCAAGTTTTATTTTGTTTCTCTAGCAGTACTAAGATTTTTTCCCTGTGCGTTTCCATCACCACACTCCTATTTATACATATGTATATTTTATATATACAAAATGCATATGAATCCATACTCCTGTGTTTTTTCTCACTGAATGTCTCATATCCAAGTCTCTTGGGTGAGAGATAGTAAGAGCCAATAGGAAGTTATCCTGTGGTAGACATTTCTGTAAACCACTGAGAAAAGTTAGATAACTGTCATAATAATGATTCTGAGTTTTTCCTCAATCGCCTTTGCCTGATAACTGGACCATATGCTCTTGATTGATTTGGTGTTTTTCTGCTTTCTGGCACTGAGAAGTGGGTGTGAACTCTATAGGAAGGCTGCATCTCTCAGAGTGAGGGGCCTAAATTGGAAGGATTGTTTAGGTGGTCAGTTATTACTAATGATATCTCATTTGCTTTTCTGTCTTGTCCATGCTGCGAGTATAGGGGCAAGGTATATGTTGCTGGAGTCTGAAGTTGATGTTTACAACTTTAATGGAGCAATCAAGTACACGGAAGTCATTAGCAAAAGATACTTTGAGTAACTTGAATCTTGGGTTCCAACATCAGACTCAGCTTCCTTTCCCACACACTAATTTTAGAGGAATGGATAGGAGTGACTCATTCTTCATGGGGAATGGGAGGGAAACTGGGAAACTATATCTATTTAAAACTTGAGTCTTGGAAAAGATTGTGCTTTGAGAGTCCTCACTACTCACTTCCCACCCCCAAACAGTTTTCTTCCTGAAAACATTGCTGGAAGCTCGGTGGTCGGTGCTTTTTTTTACATGGTTGGTTTTGCGGCCTTGGTGCCATGTGAAATTCAGAAGTAATGTTGTGTTTCCCATAGCTTATTCTTAATCCTTGACTGCTTATTAACATTGAACCGTATAAGATACATTCCTTGACTGACTGTTTTGGGAAGAAAAAGTGAACAAAAAAATGTTTTTGAAGGGTGAGACTATGTCATTTCCAGCCATTTGAGTAATCTTTTTATCTTTGTATACATGGAGTTTTCTAAAGACATTTTTAGTTGGTATAAAAACCTTTGAAAACCTGTAGTAAATGCCAAATGCCACGTTTAACTATGCTTCTTTTGTTTAAGCTACAAGTTAAAGAGATCAGTGGAGGATATGATGAACAGCCAAGTTTGTTTTCATTATTATTTTTAAAATATTTTTATGGATTTCAGAGAGAGGAAGGGAGAGAGAGATAGAAACATCAGTGATGAGACAGAATCACTGATTGGCTGCCTCCTGTGCATGTGCCCGCTCTTAACTGGAATCGAACCTGGGACCCTGAAGTCTACAGGCCGGCGCTTTATCCACTGAGCCAAACCAGCTAGGGCTGTTTTCATTATTTAAAAACACATTTGTTGGCATAAAAGTTCCTGATTTATTTTTCAATGAGTTTAAAGTTTGATAATAGATTGCTTTTGAGACAAAGTGTTAACATCTCATTCTGTGATAACCTTATGACTAGGTGAAAAGCTACGAGTCCTTGGTTACAATCAGAATGGTGAGTGGAGTGAAGTTCGCTCTAAGAATGGCCAAGGTTGGGTGCCAAGCAACTACATCACCCCAGTAAACAGTCTGGAAAAACATTCCTGGTACCACGGACCTGTATCACGCAGTGCAGCTGAGTATCTACTCAGCAGTTTAATCAATGGCAGTTTCCTGGTGCGAGAAAGTGAGAGCAGCCCCGGGCAGCTGTCCATTTCGCTCAGGTACGAGGGGCGCGTGTATCACTACAGGATCAATACCACCACAGATGGCAAGGTAAGACTGGCGACCACCTTTAGGTGTGGATGGGCTGCTCCTTAGAAATTATATTCAGAATGACTGAAGAATATAGTTTTTATGTCTGATGAAAGAAAATAATCACTGATGTGAGTTTGGGCTGTTTGGCATGTTAAAGAGAGCTTACTTTTTTCAAAAGAATATGGTAATGGAAATTTAAAACAGTATTATAATAGAAGTTTAATGATGAACTAAATGTGAAGAATGAAGGAAATTGCTGGATAAGTTAGCTGTTCTAATGATTGTTAATATGTAAATAGACATACATCTAATGCATGGTATAGAATTTATTTTTTAAATATATTTTTATTGATTTCAGAGAGGAAGGGAGAGATAGAAACATCAATGATGAGAGGGAATCATTGATTGGCTGCCTCCTTCATGTTGGATGGAGCCTGCAACCCAGGCATGTGTCCCTGACTGGAATCGAACCTGGGACCCTTCAGTCCACAGGCCAACGCTCTATCCACTGCGCCAAACTGGCGAGGGCTGTATAGAATTTATAAGTTAAATCTTACATCCAAAAATTATGATAAACTCTATAAGAAAGTTAACAGAGTAAGAATTTAGGCTTCTAAGACTGGTGTTGATCATTAATATCTCTCTCTCTATATGTGTATGTGTGTATGTATATATAAAAGGCTAAGTGACCGACTGTCCATCTAACCATCTAATCTACTGTCTGACCGACTGACCATTCGGCCGGTACATATGACATGCATTGGCAATTTAAAAATAAATGTTGCCAAAACCGGTTTGGCTCAGTGGATAGAGCGTCGGCCTGCGGACTGGAAGGTGCCGGGTTCGATTCCAGTCAAGGGCATATGCCTGGGTTGCGGGCATATGCCCAGTAGGAGATGTGCAGGAGGCAGCTGATCGATGTTTCTCTCTCATCGATGTTTCTGGCTCTCTCTCTCTCTCCCTTCCTCTCTGTAAAAAATCAATAAAATATATTTAAAAAATAAAATAAAATAAAATAAAAATAAATGTTGACTCGCACATGCGCTATACATATAAAGTTCTCGCTGGCACCAATCGCACGCGTGTTTTAATTTTATAATATATACACTATTTTGACATACAATTTTTTGCAGTAATGTAATTACTGCATGAATCTTTCTAATTAATTTCCTTTCAATGTGCACATATCCATGCACCAGGCCACTAGTGTTAATACAAGTAGATGAATCACTTAGCAGTTTACATGTTGGAGAGACCAGTTTAGAATGGTTGTTTTAGAATGTAACGGTTTCACTTTATAAACTGTAAAGCATAGGCTTATGTTAGTTCCTCTATTGAACAGTAAATGTAAATTGAATCATTTCTTCCATTCTTTTCCTCTCGGGGATATGCATACTAGGGGAAAAGCACAGGCTCTGGAACAAGCAGGTCCTGGTTTGCTGTGTAACTCCACCATTTATTTATAACTTTGTGATCTTACATAAGCCTCAATTTCCCATCTCACTTTATTGCGTTCTTGTGAGTATTAAATGAAATAATTTCCATAAAGCATAATGGCTGGTATAAAGTAGGAAATAAGAAAATTAGGAATTCTCTTTCACGCTGTCTTATATTGTCTCTTGATGAAACCAAATAGAAGCAGATAAGTAATAGTATACAAGAGACAGCTCTTCTTCTGGTTATATACCCAACAGAAATGAGTGCATATATGTACAGAAGGCATGCACAGGAATGTTCATACTATACTAGACTCTCCTAACTGTGTAACAATAGTGAAATGAACTAATAAATTGTAAAATGCAATCTCATATGACAACAAAGATGACCATAGTACTGATATGCAAACTTCAGGAAAACTATGGCCTGCCAGCTCCCTGTTTTTAAAATAAAATTTTATTGGAATATAGCCACACCCATTTGTTTATGTACTGTCCATGGCTGCTTTCTCATTATTACAGCAAATTTGAGTAGTTTCAACAGAGGTGCTATACCAGAGGTATAGAGGTGCTATAACAGAGGTGCTAAAATATTTTCTGTCTGCCCCTTCACAGAAAAGTTTGCTGATCCCTGCCATAGAGGAACCTCACAAATAAAATGGAGCAAAAGGGATCAGTGGTTGTCTGGGAAAGGAATAGGGCAGAGGGAATGACTACTAGGGGTATGGGTTTCTTTGTGGGGTGAGGAAAACGTTCTAGAGTTAGATAGTGGTGATGGTTGGACAGCCTTGTTGAATATACTAAAACCACTGAATTGTACACTTGAAAATGGTAAATTTTATGGTATGTGAATTATATCACAATAAAAAAGTTGAGCAATCTAGACATTTTATAAACAGAATCTTGGATAGACAATATTTTTGACTATATTAACATCTTAACACTATAAAAATACTATGTAAATCTCTTAAAATTCTGACATTCTACAGTCTGTATTAGACATGCTGGTCTTACAATGTTTTCTGCCTTAAGATTTAAGTTTCTTAAATGTATTTTTGCCTGAATTAAGTGTTAACTTGATGAAAACTTTTAAAATCATCACTTAGTGGGTTCTAATAAATTAAAAATTAAACTTGAAAAAAATTGAGTGAAAGAAAACAGTACGTATTGTATGATTCCATTTGTGCAGAGTTAAGAGGCAGGCAAAGGTAATCTAAGGTGCTAAATAGAAGTCAGCAAAATGTTCATCTTTACAGGGGTATATAGATGGGAGGGCACAGGAGAAGCTGCTGGGGTGCTGGTGATGTTATAATTCTTGGTGTGGGAGATGTGAGTTCATTTTATAAAAATCAGTAGTTCTCCATTTATTGTACACTTTTCTGTATACAGTAAGGCCCAAAGACTGCTATATTACTTTACACTTACTGCCTATCACAGATTAACTACTGTTTTGTTAATAGACCCTCTGAAATAAAATTGTGACTCTTTTTTAAATGGTCTACCTGTGGTCGGCAAACTGCGGCTCGTGAGCCACATGCGGCTCTTTGGCCCCTTGAGTGTGGCTCTTCCTAAGTCTTAGGAGTACCTTAATTAAGTTAATAACAATGTACCTACCTATATAGTTTAAGTTTAAAAAATTTGAGTCTCAAAAGAAATTTCAATCATCATACTATTGATATTTGACTCTGTTGACTAATGAGTTTGCCGACCACTGGTCTAGACACTCAAAAGCACACCCTAATTAAATAAAAATTATAACATTTGATATCCTTGCTCTACCAGAAAAATCGAAACAGTGGTTTTCAAATTATGTTCTGTGCAAGATTCAGAGGGGGAATTTGATAAACTCACAGGAGGTCGAGTTCCCGCGTGCTTACTTTAATCAGAGAATCTCTTCCTTTATTTGTATAATATAAACTTTTAAAATCATCACTTCGTGGGTTCTAATAAATTAAAAATTGAATTGCATGCTTAAAAAGTATTTGAGGACCAATGATATCGATGATCCAGAAAGCTATCATTGAAGTTTTTCCCCCAAGACTAGAGCTAATTTAGTAAGCATAGGAAGAGTTGGTTAAAAGTAAGATGAAACTGAAATTCTGTGTTATCCCTTACCATCATCATTTAATTTTTTGATTTACCTCAATAAGATAACCTCCTAGCTCTATACCTTCAGATCAATGAAAAAATGGGCTTTAAAAAAAATTTCTGGCCCTGGCTGGGTGGCTCAGTTAATTGGAGCATTGTCCTGTACACCAAAGGTTGGGGGTTCAATTCCTGGACAGGGCACATACCTAGGTTGCAGTTTCAATCTCTGGTTGGGGCGCATGTAGGAGGCAACCGATTGATGTTTCTCTCTCCTTCTCCCTTCCACTCTCTCTAAAAAAAGTGAATAAACATTTCCTTGGGTGAGGACTTAAAAAAATTTTTTTTGATCTCTTTTCAAGTTGACTTAGCTTTTCTCCTGCCTTTCTCACCAGGTATATGTGACCGCTGAGAGCCGCTTCAGCACCTTAGCAGAGCTTGTCCACCATCACTCCACAGTGGCTGATGGGCTGGTGACAACATTGCACTACCCCGCACCCAAGTGTAACAAGCCTACAGTTTACGGTGTGTCCCCCATCCATGACAAATGGGAAATGGAACGAACAGATATTACCATGAAGCACAAGCTTGGGGGTGGTCAGTATGGAGAGGTTTACGTTGGCGTCTGGAAGAAATACAGCCTGACGGTTGCTGTGAAAACATTGAAGGTGGGTTGCTGAGAATTACAGTGCTCGGCATCTTCTTTTGTGCTGAATTACTTGGAAATACCAGCATGCCCCGCCCCTCTTTAACTGGGGAACACTTCCCACCCACTGTTGCCACCCTGATCAGCACATGGTGATGATCAGCCCTAGTGCCATTGCTGACAGTGCAGAGGAAGATTATTCATTGCAGTGCAGTGAAACCCACATGTGGGGAATGTTTGTCTCTGGAGGCTGTTGATGGAGATCTTAGTGGGAGGTTAGAAGCAAATTACTAGTTATAAAGCGAAACAGCTTGTTTTGCTTCCTCAGCACGACCCCTGCTGGACAGAATTCTTCATGCATTGTCCAAGGATCATGGGTACTCTCTCTGGTTTGCTCTTCCCTCCCCCCCTCCCTCTTTTTCCCTCTCTCTTCCCCTCTCTCCTTCTCTCTCCCCCTCTCCCCCAAGAGAATAGACTACTTCTTGTTCTTAATATTCACAGAAGTCTTTTACCTGCGCCAGCTCTCCTCTTTAAGCATCCTATCAGATTGCAGGGTTCTCGCTCTCATCCCGTTCTCTGAAGATTCTCCCGTGTGCCTCAGTGGCTCTGCTGCATCACTCGTAAGGGCTGCTCTTCAGCTCTGAGTCGTGGTCAGTTCTTTTCAGCAAGCGTTTATTAAGCATATTTTGAGTATGAAACAATATTTAAGGCCTTGGAAGCATGCATTGCTCCTTAAAGAATTTGTCAGGAAAACAAACACGTAAACCGCTAACTATTGTCTCCTCTTTGAAAGCTGAGTTTTCTTGGGACATAAACTGTCAGAAAACTGAGTTATATAGGTGGTCTGTGTGTGCTTCCGCTGTGATAGGATGTGCTTGATGAATTTTGCTCACCCTGCTAATTTTTACTCATTTTAAATACTGGATAAATTTAACAATATTTTTCTTTCTTAATTGGACTTCTGTAGAGCATCTTAGGTTATGATAAGATTTTCGATGTATATGTTAAAATACTCAAAAGATACCATTTTTTAAAGCTGAAGTTTTTCACCCTGGCCAGTGGGTTCAGTGGTTAGAGTATCAGTCTTCGTACTGAAGGTTCATGGGTTTGATTCCCAGTCAAAGGCATGTACCTGGGTTGAGGGTTCTATCCGAGGCCCCAGTTGTGTGATGTAGGAGGCAGCCAATTTATGTGTCTCTCACATCAGTGTTTTTCTCTTACACCCTTTCCCTCCCTTACCCTCCCTCCCTCCCACTCTCTCTAAAAATCAGTGGAAAAAAATATCCTCAGTGAGGATTAACAACAACAACAAAAACACCTCCCCCCCTCCCCAAAAAAGCTGAAGTTTTAGGATTGTGAGTTGATTCAAATAGTTAAGATGGGGGTTCACTCTGAAATAAATAAATATTGCTCTTCTCTCTTTCTTTTTATTGTTCCCCTTTTGCAGGAAGATACCATGGAGGTGGAGGAGTTCCTGAAAGAAGCTGCAGTGATGAAGGAAATCAAACACCCTAATCTGGTACAGTTGTTAGGTGAGGAAGCTTGCCTAAACCATAGGTTTCCTCAAGGCTGCTTGTCCCCCAACACCCCATTATCTCCAAATCCTCCCTTAAATCACCATGGTGGAAGCTCCAAGTATGAATCTACTTCAATAAATGGTTGTTATTTTAATCAACGGGCTCTGTGTTTAAAAGTTGCCTAAGAAACAGTGGCCTGGATTGATTGCAATGTGTAAAACTACCCTGTTTGTGGTGATTGCCCCAGATTCAGAGTTCAGAATCATTTAAAATAATCCCAAATAAAAAAACTATCATAAGCCCTGGCTGTTTTTTCTCAATGGTTAGAGCATTGGACCTCGGACTGGAGGGTTAAGGGTTTGATTCCGGTCAAGGGCATGTACCTGGGTTATAGGCTCAATCCCCACCCTAGTTGGGGCATGTGTGGGAGGCAACCAATTGATGTGTCTCTCTCACTAATATGTTTTTCTCTCTCTGTCTCTCCCCCCCCTTCCACTCTCTTTAAAAATCAATGGGAAAAAGTATCCTTGGGTGAGGATTAACCAAAAAAAAAAATCACAAAATAATTTCACAAAGTAGACACTAAACAAAGGACTGTTGAAAAGAAGCAGATTAAAAATTGTGACCACACTCATCAATTTTCCTTCATCAACTGAAAATTCTATGCTCTGGTAGATTGATTTCTCACCTGTTCAGGTCACAAAGAAGTCTGTGTCTGAACCCTTTGCCCTTTTCAAAATTGGGCCACATTCTTTGGGTGTTCAAATTGAACCCAGCTATCCCAAAGGAAATAGTTTCTTGTTGATTCTTTACAAGGAATCTGCCATGTATTTGACTATGGAAACAATTATAATCTTTTTACAAAGTATTACTACAGGCTGGGCTCACATAGTCTTCAACATATGCACAGTTGTGGTTATTTTAGACTAGTGACCTGGTGCACGAAATTCGTGCACATTAAAAGCGAGTTAATTAGAGGAAATATTTTAATATTGCTATTTGCCCTTTCTCTATAATAGAAGTGTCAGAGATGAAAGAAAATTAGTAAACTGTATATGAAAATCTTCCTTCTGTCAGAGTCTGGGGTGCGCCACGGGAACCAGAGTCACGGGGGGTGTGGCCTCAGGTCCTCTGGCCCAGCACCAGAGCAGGGAGCATGGCCTGAGGTCCCCCATCAAGCCCCGCTGGGTAGGGGAGCGAGCTTCAGGTCCCCTGTCAAGCCCCACCAGGCAGGGGGCACAGCCTCAGGTCACCTGCCCTGGCCCAGCGCCACGCAGCCTCAGGTCCCTGCTGATTGCTCATTAAGTCTCATTACGGGGACTCGGCCTCCCCTGTGGGTGCAGCCATCTTGTGTCACGGAATCCCTGCCTCCGATGTGGACGCAGCCATCTTGTGTTACGGAATCCCTGCCTCCGATATGGGCGCAGCCATCTTGACCGTTATGGCGTGATGGTCAATTTGCATATTCCCTCTTTATTAGATAAGATTAGATCATTAGCACCTAGTGGAGAATGGGAGTCATGGGCATATACAGAACTCTAGAAATTTTGGTCTTCTGACCCCTTATGGAATTAATATAAGTAACTCTGCTTTTGCCCTCAGCAAATACTCAAGTGCATATGAATTTCCAGGATTATATAATGGAAGTAGAGACTCCCTTATCAACCATCTCATTAACTTGGCTATATTATTGTCAGAGAATGTGATGGCAAGAAGGGAAAAGATTACTGACAAACAAGATTTTTTAAAATTGTTGATTAATTTTATCAGAGTTGTTTGGAATGTTTGAATATAGATTAATAAAACAAACTTTATTCTTGAATTCTAAGGTGTGTGTACTTTGGAGCCACCATTTTACATTGTGACTGAATACATGCCATATGGGAATCTCCTTGATTATCTCCGAGAATGCAACCGAGAAGAGGTGACTGCAGTTGTACTGCTTTACATGGCCACTCAGATCTCTTCGGCAATGGAATATTTAGAGAAGAAGAATTTCATCCATAGGTGTGTAAACCTGAATATTGTGTGTGATTAACCAGGAAGCTACCTTGCTTGTCATGCAAATAAAGGGAAGAAGGCAAGAACCTCTCCAGAAATTTCCACATGACTCAGAAAAGGAATTTCCCATTCACAGGGCCCATTATGATGTCATTTCCAACTTATAAACTTATGTGCTCTGATTAAAGTGTTAATGAGAGGCCTTTGCTGTTCTCAAAACAGGTCTTTATTTTGCCCAGGACTATATTCAATAGCCTTTTGCTCCATCTAGTAGCTTATTTAAAAAATAGCTTTCTGTCTTAGTAAAGAACTTCAACACTTGTAGACAAGTATCTGTTGCACACCTCTAAAACTTATCCCAATGTGCACCTCTAAAACCTATCTCAATGAGCAGTTGACTCTGGAACAACATGAGTTTGAACTGTGAGGGTCCACTTATACACAGATTTTTTTCAATAACTACATATAGTACTGTAAATGTATTTTTTCTTCCTTATGATTTTCTTCTCTCTAGCTTACTTTATTGTAAGAATCCAGTTTATAATACATACATAGCTAACAGTGGTTAGCTACTTTTAGTAGCTGAATTTTTGGGGAGTCAAAAGTATACATGGATTTTTGGCTATGTGGGGGTGTAATGGGGGTAGGGTGGGTACCTCTAACCCCTGCATTAAGTGTCAACTGTACTTATGAATAGGAACCCGTTTTCTGAAGCCTGCTTTATTCCAGCATCATGGAATTGCCTCTTGATAAGTACTCTACAAGTGATACATAATTAGTGATTTTCTACCATGTTAGCCATTATCATAAAAACCTACCATATCTGTTAAGCACTTATAAACTCTGCTTGAGGCACAAAGAACCGAGAATAGAGCATTCATGGTCACTTTCCACCTTATCTGAATAGAATCACATTAGGGTTGGTTCTCTTTCCCGCAGAGATCTTGCAGCTCGGAACTGCCTAGTGGGAGAAAACCATGTGGTAAAAGTGGCTGACTTCGGCTTAAGTAGATTGATGACTGGAGACACCTACACTGCTCATGCTGGAGCCAAGTTTCCTATTAAATGGACAGCACCAGAGAGTCTTGCCTACAATACCTTCTCAATTAAATCTGATGTCTGGGGTAAGGTTGGAAGGGGCTTTTTTCTGTATGTTATTTTCTTTATATAAATGCTCTTCATTCTCTAGAGCTTATCTTTTACATAATCAGTCTCCTCTCTCTTTACCCCCACCTCTTCAATCATTCAGCAAGCATTTATTAAATACCTATTATCAGGCATTGTGCTAGGTGCTTGGCATAGAAAGAAGTGTAAAGAAGACAATAAAAAGAAGTCCTGCTTTAGAGAGCTCACAGTCTAGACCAGAGGTCCTCAAACTTTTTAAAACGGGGGGTCAGTTCACTGTCCCTCAGACATTCCACACATGCGCACTGCGGGCCCGGGACGAGTCGGCTGCTAAGCAGGACAGGCCACGGCGGCAAAAACACCGGCGGGCCGGATAAATGTTTTCGGCGGGCCGCATGTGGCCCGCGGGCCGCAGTTTGAGGACGCCTGGTCTAGACTCTCATGTTGCATTGGAGTTCTGAAGATCCTTTAAAGCTCCCTGTTTTCCACATTAGGTATTAGCTTGTTTCCAGAGCGCTGGGACACACAGAATAGCATCCTCTTTTCAAGGAAGGCATGCTGAAGTTTCAGCTAGGTTTATCCTGGTAACTACTGCCATGAATTGGTACAAGCCCAGTGGACTGAACCAGTCTGGAAATTTGGATTGTGGGCCAATTGAAATAATTGCAGGATTCTAAGTCACTCTGGGGATGTGCCCGCAACCCAGGTACATGCCCTTGACCGGAATCGAACCTGGGACCCTTCAGTCCGCAGGCCGACACTCCATCCACTGAGCCAAACCGGTTTCAGCTTTAAGTCACTCTTTACCAGAAATCTCAAACTCAGAAATAACCTGTGACAAGATCAAGCAAATTCTTTTTTCTACTGTGAATTTTATCTGATTTCAATTTTATATTTACTCCTCTAATATTAGCTGACATAAAAACTGTGAAACTCATTAATTAGGTTATAGATTATTCTAAGAATAGTTTGATTATGCCCCAGACTTCTTGTATGGTCATAGTTTATTTTCCTTCATTGTAGTAAAGGAAGTCTAAATTAAAGGTGGGAAATATAAAGAAAGCCGTCTTTATACCTGGTATTTCAGGTCATACCTCAAATGTTCCCATGGAGGAATACTTTTGGTAATTGAATATTATCCAAAATTTGAAAGATAATTACCTAGCGGTGTAAAATAATAATCAGAGAAGAAACATTAAGCTCTTTTTTTTGTCCCTTATGCAGCTTTTGGGGTACTGTTGTGGGAAATTGCTACCTATGGAATGTCACCATATCCAGGTATTGACCTGTCTCAGGTCTATGATCTACTGGAAAAGGGATATCGAATGGAACAGCCTGAAGGATGCCCCCCTAAGGTTTATGAACTTATGAGAGCATGTGAGTATTTTTGCATATTTTAAGTATAAGGGTCTGATTCAGCATTTTGGGGATGATTAGCAAAATTAGGAACATTTTTCCTCGTAATGTTGTTAGATTGAATCTAACCACATGGCATATAAAGAGTTGGTCATTGATTAGCCAGTTGGCATGTCATATGCTATACCATTGAGTCTTACTGGAATCCTAAGAATCATTGTCCATGGCTGAAATGTTGAGTCAGTTTCCCAGAAACACTTGCACATTTAATAGAATAATATAATAAGAGCCCTGGCCCGTGTGGCTCAGTTGGTTAGAACATCGTCCTGTATACCAGAGGTGGCAGGCTCGATTCCCAGTCAGGGCACATATTCAGGTTGTGGGTTTGATCCCCAGTCAGGGCACATGTGGGAGGCAGCCAGTTGATGTTTCTCTCGCCCCCCTCTCTCCCTTCCTCTCTCTAAAAGTCAATTAAAATATTTTTAGAAATAGAATAATAAGAAATTGGGTTTGGAGTTAGGTAGGGGAGGACTGCTTTCAACTAGATGGAAATGATTGCTAAAGACTAGATGCACGTAACCTCAGTGATGAATAAACAAAGCACCTTATCCCTTGAAGATGGAAGGTGGTAGTAAAGTGCAGTTGTGTTTGAGCATAAATCTTGTTTTCTCATTGAGCATTGGCATTGCCTGCTGCCCTGTCTTCATCAAATATGAACTGCAAGCTCCTCCTTTCGGATAGTCCGTTATATTTCTGAATATGTACAGCTCATGGTTTCTAAGGTTAGAGTGAGTTTGAAGACAGGTTTAACTTGTATTTTTCCAGTGAAAAAAACTTGCCATTTTCTAAGTTATCTTCCCATCCCTCCTCACCCCTGTGTAGGGGGAATAGGAGCGGAGGCTGCATAGAGGGACTTGCCCGAGGAAGTGGGTCCATTATCCTCTGAGCGGAACTGAGAGGCAGCGGCCTCACTACCATTGTGGACATGCTGCAGCTCTGCTTTAAGAGGCACACGTCCTGATGCAGGGGACTCGCTGTCAGGCGCGGCACGGCGTGTCCATTCCTTCGGGGGCTTTAGCATTTCCTCCTTTTGTTACATAGGCTGGAAGTGGAGCCCTGCTGACAGGCCCTCTTTTGCTGAAACACATCAAGCTTTTGAAACCATGTTCCATGACTCCAGCATTTCCGAAGGTAGGAATCTGGTAGTTTATTGGTGGCTAGTTCTGGATAGTGATAATATTTAAAAAATGATGGACTTTTGTAGCTTGGAACTCCATTTCAGGATATTGAATTAATTCTTGGCCTTCATTCTTCTTGTTTTGCTTTTTTTTATTTTTTGCCTTTTTTAATGTCTTGTGTTTCTATCATTTTTAATACTGAAAGTATACTTTAATTGCAAATTCATTCAGTCTTTTCATAAAGAGAGTACGTTCAGTAGTTCTTTAAGCATTAACACTTATGTAGGGAAGAGAAGGGGGGAAAAATCAGTCTGAAAAATATTCCAGCTCCTTGAACCATACCAGCAAATGCAGAACCAAGTCATAAGAGCAATATCCAGAAATTTTATTTCTAAAAATAGATCCCAAGGAAATAATTAAGGGTGTAAACAAAGATTTAGCTACAAGAATATTCCATCAGAGTATAGTCTATAATACTGAAAAATTAAGAACAATTTAAATATCTAGTGGGCTGTTATTCATATAATTAAATATTTAAAATGATATTCTTGAATTGACATGGAAAAGAGTTTAGAATGAGCATGCTAAGTTAAGCTGTGAATAGTGTGATCCCTTATCTAAAAACAACAGTATGGACACACATGGGCAGTTTTCTGCTTTTTTGTATACTGCTTCTAAAATTGTCAGCAAGAATCAAACAATAAACTTGTTATAAAGAGAGACTTTCCTAAAGAGCTAAAACCACAACATTCTTAGTCAGACTTGCCTGTGGCACTTTGATATAGTTCCAGAATGTTATACATATTTCTCACATTTTTCCTTTCCTTCATAATTGAACATAGAACTTACAGTTTTAAAATATTAGAAGAAGAAATCAGGCAAGTTGATTTTTGTCTGCTTTCCTCAGTGATTTATCATGTCTAGGTGAGAAGAAAGGGAAAAGTATAGCATCAAATTTAATAGTTAGTATTTACATTCTAGTTCTTTGATGTATGGAATTTCTACAGGTTGGGGAGGGCACAGCTGGCTCTTGGGCAGCTGCCTACCACAGAACTCTTCTCTGTGCTTTTTCCTATGGTGTCAAAGTGGTAGAAGTCATGAATATCTTTGGTACTTTTGTGCCAACTTTTAACCTCTGTTGAATCCTGAGTTAAATATTTCTGCTTCTTTTGAAAATGTTATGTCTTTTTAGAAAATCAGCCCTTATCACTTTTAAGGCTAATTTCAATTCACTACTGCTAAATAAGAAACTTAACGTTATTCAACCCATAATTATTAAGCATTTAATCCAGGGGTCCTCAAACTACGGCCCGCAGGCCACATGCAAATACAAATACTGTATTTGTTCCCGTTTTGTTTTTTTTTTTACTTCAAAATAATATATGTGCAGTGTGCGTAGGAATTTGTTCATAGTTTTTTTAAAATTATAGTCCGGCCGTCCAACAGTCTGAGGGACAGTGAACTGGCCCCCTGTTTAAAAAGTTTGAGGACCCCTGCTTTAATCTGTGGCAAGGACTATACTAGATCTGAGGACACAGAGATAAGACACAGCGCCTACCTTTAAAGGATGTTCTTATTAGTTGTAAGTGAAGGAAACCTAACTCAGACTTTAAGTAATAAGAGGAGGATTTATTGGCTTATAACCAAACCGTGGAAAAATGGGGATGGTGCTAATCTCAGAGTCAGTTGAAGCCTTGGACTCAAGTAGCTTCAGGTCTTCCTCCTTACCCCTTCCTCTTTCCCAAAGCCACTCGCACCCAACATTTCTTTACTTTTGCTTCTATGTTGATCTCTTCCTCAAAATCCTCTAAGTGGCGTTGGACATAGTTGACAGCATCCTTGAGGTAATGTCTGTCTCCTAGCTGTTTGTATAGCAGTGTAAGAACAAAATCTCATTGTATTGGCTGGTATTATGTGCCATTTACCCACTCTTGTGGGATGCTAATTTTTAAAAATAATTACCAGCCTGGCCAGTGTGGCTCAGCAGCTGAGCATTGACCCAGAAATCAAGAGGTCACTGGTTCGATTCCCCATCAAGGCACATGCCAGGGTTGTGGGTTCAGTCACCAATAGGATCAGTGATATTGCTTTCTCATTGATGTTTCTATCTCTCTATTCCTCTCCCTCTCTCTCTAAAACTCAATAAAAGCAGCCCTAGCTGGTTTGGCTTAGTGGATAGTGTGTCGGCCTGCAGACTGAAGGGTCCTGGTTTTGATTCTGGTCAAGGGCACGCACATGCCTGGGTTGTGGGCTCGATCTCCAATAGGGGGCGTGCAGGAGGCAGCTGATCAATGACTCTCATCATTGATGTTTCTATCTCTCTCCTCCCTTCCTCTCTGAAATCAATAAAAATATGTTAAAAAAAACTCAAAAACATATTTAAAAATAATAATTACCAAAAGATGTTATAAAATAATTACAGAATTTCACAATTTAATTGATCCTTCGACCTTCATTTTTGTTTAGAAATGAATAGCAAGTTATGTATTTGCCTCAGCAAAAGCCACAGAAGCCATGGCCAGGTTTAGTCAGCAAAGGTCACTAATGGCTCAACCTTTTTTCAAGACTCATTTGCATGAAATGGAATGTATCTATCCTCCTTTTTAGTACAAGGTGCAACCGAAAAATAAAGGCATCTGTAGACATCTGTCTGCTTTTTCAGCTTCTGAATAGGAACTAGTAAGCGAGGATAGCTAAATGACCAGTAAGCATATGAAGCCATACTCAATATCATTCCTCATCAGAGAAGTACAAAATAAAACAATGAAATCCCTTTACATACCTACCCCAGAATGGCTAAAAGTAAAATCAAACAAAAAACCTCATAACATAAAATGGGCGAGTATGCAGAGTAACCAGAATTTTATACGTTGCTAGTGGGAGTGTAGATTGGTACAGGCATTTGGAGAGATCGGCAGGAAAAAGCTGAATTTATATGTACCTCATGACCACACATCCTGCTTATGCAATTGTGAAGCAAAAGATGTAGCAGAATGGTCCCTAGCAACGTATTCATAATAGCCAAACACTGGAAACAAATAGGTGAATTTTGGTATATTCATTCTCACATTTGAACAGTACACAGGACTGAAGAAAACCCTGCCACACAATAATATTGATGAATCTGTAGATGTAATGTTGAGCAAAAGAAGCCAGACAGAAATAGAGCGCATCTCTGTGATCCATTTACACATCTTAGCACTCTCCAGTTCTTCTGCAGCTGTACGCCTTTTCTGAAAAGAACTCCTTCGCTCTGTCATGAAGTTGTTCTTTTTATCAGTCTCCTTGTCTTCCTCACAGAGGTAGCTGAGGAGCTTGGGAGGGCCGCCGCTGCCTCATCTGTCGTCCCCTACCTGCCCCGATTACCTATTCTTCCTTCCAAGACCCGGACACTGAAGAAACAGGTGGAGAACAAGGAGAATATCGAAGGGTCCCTAGATGCCACAGACAATTCTGCTTCCAGTTCAGCACCAGGTATGGGTCCCAAGGCAGGCAGAGTCCATTCTGCCTTGTTTAAAGAACCAAGGGTTATGGTGCTTCTGTTCTCTCTTCCCTGCCCATCTTCCCGAGGAAAGTGTGACTGGCATCCATTTTGCCTACCACTCTAGTCCTCAGCTCTGCGTCAGTGTTAGGAGTCCTGATCTATCCACTTGCATGCAGCTGTGCCTCCACTCCATTCCCTTAGCCCCGGATTCCCAAATGCTTAGCTTCTTTGCAGTTCTGACAAACACTTCTTTAGTGAACCTGATATTGAGGGCAGTTTGTATGGTAGCTTTTGGAGAAAAGATGAAGGCCGAGGCAAACACCAGCAGGGTTTTTCTCTCCATTTACATCCCATATCACATTTGGAATACTGATTAATGTGAAAGGGTAATGTATGTATTGGTTTCCTCTGGGTCTGGCTATCACCTGGCATTTAATAGATGCTGACAAAACTCTTACAGTTCAGCCTTAGTAACTCAAGTGTAACGGAGTGCCTGCTTGTCTTTCACATTACTGATTGGCCGTTTCTCATCAGGGTTCATTAGAAGTGCACAGGTCCCCAGTGGGTCCCCAGCACTGCCTCGAAAACAAAGAGACAAGTCACCCAGCAGCCTCTTGGAAGATGCTAAAGAGACGTGCTTCACCAGGGATAGGAAGGGAGGCTTCTTCAGCTCCTTCATGAAAAAGAGAAATGCTCCCACCCCCCCCAAACGCAGCAGCTCCTTCCGAGAAATGGAGAATCAGCCCCACAAGAAATATGAACTCACGGGTAACTTCTCATCTGTTGCTTCTCTACAGCATGCTGATGGGTTCTCTTTCACTCCTGCCCAGCAAGAGGCGAATCTGGTGCCCCCCAAGTGCTATGGGGGGAGCTTTGCACAGAGGAACCTCTGTAATGACGACGGTGGCGGGGGTGGGGGCAGTGGCACTGCGGGGGGTGGGTGGTCTGGCATCACAGGCTTCTTTACACCACGTTTAATCAAAAAGACACTGGGCTTACGAGCAGGTAAACCCACAGCCAGTGATGACACTTCCAAGCCTTTTCCAAGGTCAAACTCTACATCTTCCATGTCCTCAGGGCTTCCAGAGCAGGATAGGATGGCAATGACCCTTCCCAGGAACTGCCAGAGGTCCAAAATCCAGCTGGAAAGGACAGTGTCCACCTCTTCTCAGCCAGAAGAGAGTGTGGACAGGGCCAATGACACACCTCCCAAAAAGTCAGAGGAAGGTACTGCTCCAACCAGGGAGAGACCAAAAGCCAAACTTTTGCCCAGAGGAACCACAGCTCTTCCCCTAAGGACCCCCTCTGGGGATCCAGCCATTGCAGAGAAGGACTGTCCAGGGGTGGGGGCAGCTGGAGTGGCAGCTGCCCCAAAGAGCAAGGAGAGGAATGGTGGGGCACGCCTTGGCATGGCTGGAGTCCCAGAGGATGGCGAGCAGACAGGCTGGGCTTCTCCAGCCAAGGTTGCGGCCATCCTCCCCACCACTCACAACCACAAAGTGCCCGTCCTCATCTCCCCCACTCTGAAGCACACTCCAGCCGACGTGCAGCTCATTGGCACAGACTCTCAGGGGAACAAATTCAAGCTCTTATCTGAGCATCAGGTCACATCCTCTGGAGACAAAGACCGACCCCGACGGGTAAAACCAAAGTGTGCCCCACCCCCACCACCAGTGATGAGACTACTGCAGCATCCGTCCGTGTGCTCAGACCCCACGGAAGAGCCGGCGGCCCCGGCTGCCGGGCAGCCCACATCAGAAACACAGGAAGGAGGGAAAAAGGCAGCTCCAGGGGCAGTGCCCACCAGTGGGAAAGCTGGGAGGCCTGTGGTGCCTCCACCTCAAGTGCCTCTGCCCACATCTTCCATCTCGCCAGCCAAAATGGCCAACGGCACAGCAGGTACTAAAGTGGCTCTGAGGAAAACCAAACAGGCAGCTGAGAAAATCTCCGCAGACAAAATCAGCAAAGAGGCCCTGCTGGAATGTGCTGATCTGCTGTCCAGTGCCATCTCAGAACCAGTGCCCAACAGCCAGCTGGTGGACACTGGGCACCAGCTGCTTGACTACTGCTCAGGCTACGTGGACTGCATCCCTCAAACTCGCAACAAGTTTGCCTTCAGAGAGGCCGTGAGCAAACTGGAACTCAGCCTGCAGGAGCTGCAGGTGTCTTCAGCCACTGCGGGCGTGCCTGGGGCAAATCCTGTCCTTAATAACTTACTATCGTGTGTACAGGAAATCAGCGATGTGGTGCAGAGGTAGCCACTGTTAGCCTGCTCCTCCTGGAAGAGGCACGCGTTTCTGAGGGGACGGGAAGGGACTTGTTTTCCTGTGTTCTTGTTTTCAAAAAATGAAAGACTGATACTTGAGTGTGTTTATGTGAAGTACCTCAGCTCTCTGAGATCTCACGTTTACAGGTTCATCTCAAAAATAACAAAAAGCAAAGCTCATAGGAGAGGGAAATTGGAGGGGGCTGGGCGGGGGTGGGCAGGATTGGAAGCTGCACTGGATTATCAGGGAATGTGTGTATGTGGTGCCATGAAGAACCAAACCCAGCCGTTCTGACCTGGGTGCCAGGTGGCAGACAGGCTGCCCTTGGCCGTGCCGGGAGACTGCCCGACGGGCCTGGCTGCGGCTCCCGTCTGTCCCGCACAGGGACCTGGCTAGGGCTCCGGGAGGTACTAATGATTGTGTTCACCTCACCCAGGGAAGTCAGTGGGACAGAAGAAAGGAAAGCTGGGAAGGTGCTAAGTGAAGTTTCAGCCAAGGCTCTTGGAAGCAGCTATTAGTCGTGCTTCCCCAAGGTCACTTGCTGCAGCAAGAACCGCAAATCAAATTGCTGGAATGACACAATCGGGAAAGGTGACCCTGCCTGTTGCTCCTCTCCTGTTTTCCATTGGTGTGTTAATTGGAGCTGGAAGTAAAGAAATCTAGGAAGTACAGTCAGGGAGCTTGAAAGCTCCTAAAATCTCACATTGATCAGCACAAGTCACTTCTCCCAGTCTAGTGTGTGATTTCCTAACAGACCAGGATTATAGGGGTCTCTAGTGGTTCTTCTCTGGCCCCTGCTGGGCAGGCTGTCTTCCTTATTCCTGGCTCTTTCAGGCATTAACCAACATTGATTTTGAAATTAGTGGTCATGGACAGGTTCTCACAGGGAATCCTTTTCTGATACAGTGCCCCTGCATACTGACATGCTAGTCAAGGACTTGGGGAGTTGTGTATTTTGTTATCAACTAAATATCCAAGAAAGGGGCTCTTCTTGGAACCCAACAGCCAGGCCCAGAGACCAATGACTGAGGAGAGGCTGGTTTGGTCCTAGTGGCTGTTTCTCTGTACCTCTCCCTTCATCACCTTAGACCCAATCTGGGTAGAAAGTAGAGAGAAGCACACACACACACTCTGGATTTCAAATGAATCACCCTAAATTATTCTCACATGCCTTTCTCCTTTCACAGTCCCCCCTCCCTCCATCGTTGTGCTTGTTTGTAAAGATCACATTGGGAATATTCTTTGATATTTATTTTAATATCATATTTTAAGAGTGTATAATTGAAGGAGCATGTTATTTCTAGGGAAAACCAATTAGATCCTGGAAATCTAATGACTTAACCCTCAAATATATTTTGCCTTTGAAAAATAGGCCTTTTCCTTCCCTACTCATTACTTAGCTTTCATTATTATGGAAGCTAATTAGGATCGAAGGGAGCTGAATCTAATCGGTAGATGTTATTAATATTCTCATTATCAGGTCTAATCCCAGTTACCACTTCATTCTGTTTTTAAAGCTTTGTGACTCCCTCCCCAAGGAGAACCCAATACAAAAAAATAAATACATTATTTTTTTCCTTCCAAAGGAATATTAACTTAGGAAGATAGGAATTCAGCATTGGTGAGCAGTGAATTTTCTTCCTGCCTCTGTCATCGATCCACTGTCAAGCCACAGCCCCGTCTCTAAATCTGTTAAATGCAGGTAATGATACGTGTTCTCATGGGTGTTTCACAAATAAGGGCGTAGTTCTCCCTCTGAGAGCCTCCCTACAAAGCTATTCAGTGCAGTGGTGTTATCGTGAATGGTTTTTCAGTCTCTTCTGTGCTCAGTAGCAAGTCATGAAATTTAGAGCTGTTGAGATTACATTAATTGGGCTAGAATACTAATAGGGAAAAACTATGTTTTAGACAGAGTTTGACATCTTTGACCAAGGAGGACATTTAGTTTTCATCAGAAAGAAAGGAAACCTTGATTCTTATCATGGCTGCTCCGAAAGGAGGCCCAGGCCCAGGGAAGGGTGTGAAGGGAGGGGCAGTCCTGGGCATTCCTTGCTGGGGTGGGGGTCTCTGTCTGACACGGAAGATGCAGCATAGGCAGCTAGTGATGTGCTTCGTCTCCTGGCAGCGGTTGGAAGAGAAGCTCGAGTTCCTTTCAGCGTGGATTTGAAGACCAACAGTCCCGCCCCTATCTCCTTCCTCGCCACTTCCCTTCATTATACACTGCCGTAAACTTGAAATCGTTTTAGCAATTAGCCTTTTAAGGGTGGGGCAGGGAAAGCTAAAACTTTAGACTATTTTATGCTGCTTTTTAAGTTTATCCTGTCATTATGGGATGCCAGTTGAGGGATTATAATTGTTTTTCAGGGGATTTTTATTTTTTTCTAAGCACGGGATCTTTCATCGAGAGCTCTGAGAATAAGCCTTGGAGGAACACTACTGAGTGTATTTAAGCTCCAGATTTCTCACCGAAATAGTCTTGAGGGTGGGGGCTGTGTCTTACTCAGGGGAGGCACCTGGCTCTAGCTTGCCTACAATAGGTGCTCAGTAAGTTAATGATTGAGTTTTTTCAACACTGTCAATAGTAAGATTGACTTTTGCAGCACCCCCATCCACATGATGCTTGAACTGTGGAACTTCAGGAGGTGAGAGCTCAGGGTTAAGGGTTAAAGAGGCACTGTCAACTTACAAAAGTCTAATAGAGGTTTTTCCTTTTTCTACTTGAAGAGGACCAGATTTAAAAAATAACCTTATGTAAATTTAAAAGTTTGAATTCAAAGCAGAGAAAACTGCTTTTTAGAAATTAAAAATGTAGTTGAATTCTAATCGGTTTAAAAGCAAAGCAGAGAGCAGGGGCAAAAAGACAAAATGTTGAAAACTTTCTAAAGTTATACACACACGCACACACACACACCCACACACCCCTTTGGGCTATGACAGTTTGAATCCTTTCATATACAGATAATACAATTTCAACTTAGATTTCCTACCTTAAAATGTAATATTTTGTGTAGAATACATCTTTATTGTGCTTTACATGAAGTATTTTTTTAAAAGGCTTTGTGTAAAATTAAAATGTGTGTATTTTCTATTGACTGCCCTCGTAATTTTCAGAGATATAGCCTTAAAAAAATTGGCCCTAAGAAGTTCTTTCAGTGTTTTTCCAGGTGACCTCTGCCCATTGAGGTCTTTATGTGGAGCCACTTGCCCAGCTGCATTTTGGGTTTTAAATTAGAATTTTCTTATAATTCAATTGAAAGTTGACTAATAAAATAGTGCCCAGTTAATAAAATATGCTCTGCTAAGGCATAGCCCATATTTATTTAAGGAGCGTCATGGAGCTTTTGAGTTGAGGATAGAGTATAGTCAGTGATTAAGAGTTCAGCCTCTAAAGTCAGTCCAGAAGGCAAGTCATTTAATCGTCCTGAGCCTTAGTTTCCTCATTGGAAAACAGGGATAATAATAGTAACTACCTCAGGTTGCCATAAGGATTAAATGATAATATATGTAAGATACTTAGCTTCAGTGCCTGGCACATACTGAGCACTCCATAAATGTTAATGACCACTATTATTACTAAAAAACTTAGTCCAGTGACTCTCAGCCAGGAATGTGCAACAAAATCCTCTGCATTTAAAAACAAAATAAAATCTGATGCATTGATCAGAATTCCCAGTGGGGTGAGGGCTGAGCCAGTGTGTTTTATAAGAACCCTGCCAGGTGTTTCCGACACTTGTCAGCATCCCGCTTTTTTCCTTATAGCTTAAGATTGGAAGAGAAGACAGTTACTCGCTGTGGATCTCAGCAGTTAATTAGTGGCAGAGCCAAGGCTACAGTTCACTCTCTTGATTTTCTGGTTGTGGGTCCCTCCCCACTCCTGCTGCCTTGTGAGACACTGCAGAGAAAGTGGCTCAGCTGGACAATCAGTCTGCACAGCGCTGCACACCCTAAAGCACACGCTCCTGGCACCCTCTGACCTTAAGGGGCTTGAATGCCGAGTGATGGCAATACTAGCAAAGCAGGCAACCTGTAGACGTCAGTAACTTAAACACTGTGTGGAGTCATTCTTTGGGACAGAGCTCAGCAGCACCGCGATCTGCACTTTGTAATAAGGAAATACCAACTTAAGTTCTACAACCTCGTCCTACATTCCTCTTTCCTCAGAAAATAGCAACATAAAATTGTATTTTGTGCCATTTTAATGATGGAGATAATGTATGTGAAAGCACTTTGAGGAAAAAGTATCAGGTGTAATATAACTATAAGGTCAGATTATTAATGTCTGTTAAAAGTTAAAGCAGTTGGTTACAAGCTGATCAACTTAACAGGCTTTTACCTGTGTGGGGCCTGAAAATGCAGATATGTAAGCAGTCACCTCTGTAACTTACGGCATTTATAAATATGGAACTGCTAAATGACTGTGTGCAGGTTCAGTAAGTGTTTTACTGAAATTGTAGCTCAGTGTTGAATCACTTCAGAAAACTAGGGACCAACTTTCTGGTTTAATTATAATCATTAAAAAGTAACAATGGGCACTCACTCCACAACAGAGAAGCTCTTCCAGGCACCTGACTCAAGAAGAAGGGGGCCCTGTTGGTTGTGAGCCTTTGTCCGCTACGCGTCCAGTCATCTAGCATCTAAATGGGGCGGCAGCAGACACATTGCCTGTTGATGTTGACAGTGTCTTTTTTAACCTGTGTCCTGCGTGGGGTTTTTGTTGTTGTTGTTTTCCTGCGGGGCAAGGGGTTTGGGGGTGAGAGGAGATTGGATGGCTATAGAACCAGAGCGTTTTAGGATTTCCTATCAGTTATAAATGAGCTTGACATTCATCATCCATGTTTATTTTTTTCTAAGAAGAGTAGCTGAATATAAGTCACCTGTTAGATGATAAAATACTCAAGAGTAGACTGCATTGGTGGCCACTTTGAGTGACAGCTGCACTGTATTCTGACATCTCCTATTCCCTTCCATGTTTGCTACTGATGTCATCACTGCTCTCAGGCTCTGCTCCCACATTGGGCTGACAGGATTGTTTTGTTCTTGATGACTTCTGGGTTTCAGCATCTTGCTTGCATTAATTTGGGATCCATCTCTCTGCCCTTAGCCTTTATGACCAGTCCTCTTTATGTAGGTGGGTCTCTAGACAGAAGTTTCTAATGTATTTGTTAATAGACTCCAGCTTACTATATCTCTGTCATAGCTTCTGTCAAGCCAGTAGCGCGGTTCTTTTGTAAATCCCTGATTCAGTTTGAGATCTGTGGGAGCAAGAGAGAGAGAGAGAGAAAGGCAGCCCCAAGGGCACCTGACAATCCAGGGAAGTAGCTGGTCGCCAAGGCCTCCTCACAGAGGAAGGCCTTGGGCTGGTTCTAAAACGTGTCCTACCATTAACAGGATATTTATATCCTTGGGGTAGAGTTTCAGTTTTCCAACTCCCAGACTTTAAAAAAAATCTAATGTAAGGCTTGCTTTTTCGGGCAGGTCAATAGTGCCTGGTGTAACAGTTACCATTACCTGCTCTGTTACCATGGGCCTCCACTGCCCACCCTGTTCTCCTGTGTCACTGGGGAAGCATGGGTGATTTCAGGGCTTCTCAGTAACTGTTTTCGCTCCAGCCTGCCTTTCGTGGAGTTTACTGCAATGTCCAAAAAGATGAGCTTCTGTTCTGGTCCTGCTGCCTTTGATGCCACCCACCTGAGGTATATATTTTATATCTTGAGAAAACGTGTATGCAAGATGACTCCGTGTCCTAGATCCAAAGGACAGGAAATTGGGGAAGGCTTCACCTGTGATTATCAGGGTAGGACAATACCATGCTGCTCCCCTGGGGAGGAGGCCTGGCAGCTCATCTTGCTTTTAGCTGACTTGGGAGGTGTGGAGATGACTCTGAGAGGATTGTGCCTTCAAGGATGGGTTTCATGTGTTCTGCAGAGGAAAAGACTTGTCATCCCAGTTGAAGTTGCAAGTTGCTGAACTGGTAGAAATGAACATGCTGGTTGCAGTGGCTCAGAGCCCTGGTCAGGGAGAGTCCCCATTTGGAAGTTCTCCCCACACGGGCCACTGCTCTTCTCTCCGTCCTGCTGGTGAGTGGGGGAAGGATGCTCTAACTGCACCCTTCCCTCCCTCCAGGTCACTCACTCCGTTGCCCCTATGTACCATTATACATTTGAAATTGTTTACCTCTCCTAGAAAAAGTGTATCCTTTAACCTCCTCATTGCTGAGCAACCTGAACACAGTAGCAAGGCCTTGTTAACTCAACCCGCAGTCACAAGTGGTGTGTGAGCAGATCTTCAAACCTGCAGACCCTCTTAAATCGGGTGGGGAACCTTTTTTCTGCCACAGGCCATTTGGCTATTTATAACATCATTTGAGGGCCATACAAAATGATCAACTTAAAAAGTATGTTGCTATGGAAGAGCTTCTAGATTTATTGAATTTTTAGTCCCGCCTGTGGTTGCCTTGGAAGGGCCAGACCAAATGGTACGGCCGGCTGTTCCCCACCCCTGCTCTGAGGAAAGGATGGCTCCTGTAAGTTGAAAGGCTAGACCAATACTGTCCGTAGACCACACCTTATACCGCCCTGTGTCTGTTCTTTGTTCATCGTACTGAAAGCAGCAAGTTTCTGGGTCCTACATGTCACTCATACTTCTGAGCTGTACACACAGGGCTTGAGGTCTTAGAGCATTCTAGTTAGTTTTTTTGGATATAGTGGAAATGAACTGTCAAATGCTAGCAGACTTAAAGGAAATACAGTGTCTGGTTGGAGCTTGTTTAGATTTGCTTCTGAGTCTTAAGATGGTTTTAAATCTTGTGTTTAAGCACAGCAGACTTTAGTTGGAGAATGGGACTTCTGGTTAATAAAATAACCGTGTGTCAGGATAGTTAATTTCAGCAGTTATAACAGTAACACAGGTATGCCAGATGTCTTCAGGATTCAGAAGATATTGCAGGAGCGGCGTTGCATCCCAGCCACTATTCTGTATGGTTCTGAGTGGCAGCACTGCCCAGAGGCAGAGATGCTTCTGGTAGATGAGGCCTGGATTTTCTCCATTGACAAGCTATTTTACACGATGGCCACTGTTTTTGGAACTCTTTTATGAGAGAAATTTTCAGAGATTTGGAGAAGTCACCTTGATTAGGCTGATTGTCCTTCAGAGAAATTAGTATTCAGAAGCTGGAAAGGACGATGAGGTACTCATAGCTATTTAGGGCGTATGCTTGAAAACCCTCACATCTCAGGTCTGTGTAGAGGGAACATGCCATGTCCACGTTATGTGCGTACCCTGTTGTCGTGCTAAGAAAGGAGGGGTAAGAAAGGGAGTTAATCCAACCCTGGTTGGTGTGTTTGCCGAGAACAGGCTGCCTGAGCTGTTGGTCTGTGCTCAGAGCCTGTCTCCTGGGGGTACCCCATACTCTTCCTTCTCTGCAGTTTGATTCTGTGACTGTCAGTGGAGGAACCCAGTTTTATGTTCACTTGGCAAAAGTAATTTTGAATATTTTGTGGTGGTTGACAGAATTTTGTCCTAAAACATAGGCTTCAGATTCTTTAAAACTTGTTCAACGTTTATACCAAAGGTCACGCTCTGCAGGTGCACGTGTGTTGGGTGCACATGAGGGTGAGGTCTGGAGGGCCTGGCACTGTGCGCGTTGCTAAGGGAACACAGTGAGACAACACGGGATTTAATGAAAACACATCAGTCATGGGTCACACTGCCGGTGTCGTCAGGTGTTTGCTCTTGTTATTGTAATATATTTTCAGGTGTTTTGTTTTCTAATTTAATTCTCTCGCCCTGTTGTCTGACTGTGAACTGCTAACAGTGTTAAACTTGATGTAAATAAATGAGGCCCTTGAAAGGGGAATGCTGTCTGCCTGTTGTCTCACAAGGCTTGCCAACTTGTGTTTTATTTTAATAAAGGTTGCAATATTTTATTGGCAAAGGAGGCTTTTGATTGGAGTATTTCTCCCATCGTTTTAACTGACAGGGAGTCTGAGCAGTTTGTCTCCCTGTGTGGAACAGATGTCTGTAAGGTAAAGAAGCTGGGTTTAGCAGTCATCCCTCTGGTACATGCTGTAGAATGTCCTCTGTGGGGTGAATACTTCTCCTTTGATGGATTCCAAAGGCATCGTCTGGAGCCCAGCTGGTACATCAGGTGGGTAAGTGTGTGTGTGTGTGTATGTATCTGTCTGTCCGTCCAATGTGAGGTGACTGTAAAATGAGACGTAATTCTTTCCAAGTCCATTTTGAGGACAACTACAAATAAGTTCTAAAAGTGTTTTGAGCCCAAGCAGCACGAAAAGAGTAAGTAGAACCTCACAGGGAACATTCTGTTCTTTTTTGACTTGATTTCAGAGTATTTTAACAGTGAGCCATTGCTTTTAGATGTCATGTTTCATTGGGTAAGAGTAGGGTGCGCTCAGGTGGTGCCCCGTGAGGTCATTAGTGGCTGTTAAACATCAGCTTGTAAACTCTCACTCCACCTGTTTTGGTTTAGTTCAGGAGAACCTTGTTCTAGTTTTCAGAGAAGACACGTTGTGCTCTTCGCCCTGCTTCGTATTACAGGGACAGTTCCATACCTGAAGCTGTGGCATTTGCTGAGGAAATTATTTTATCCTTTTATTTTTGCAGAGGAAATCTGGAAATTGTTTTAGAAACAAGTCATTGAAGCACAAGAGCTGGAGTCAGACTGCCCGGGTCGGACTCCCCTCTCCTGGCTGGAGCTCTGTGACTTTCCAAAGACATCTCACCTCCCGGAGTCCAGTCTTCTTTTACCAAACAGTGAGGGAGTTGGTCCCTAAGTCACAGTGTTCAAGATGGTATGATTGTAGTGCTTAGCACAGGGCACAGCACACGGTAAGTTCTCAAATGTTGGTCACCCAGCCAGGGCTCCATAAACTAGAATGGAGGGCAGCCTTGGCTTACAGTGTGTCAAAACTGACAGCAGTTTTACTAAGCTTTTAATTGTTCTGTTACCCAAGCACTTGATCAGTATGAACCAGTTTAATCCTCACAGCAACCCTAGTTGTAAGTTGTGCTCAACTTTGACAAAAGTGGAAACCAAGATTATGCTGGGGTTAACAGCTTCCTATCATCGCCCAGTGGCATGTGGCTGAGCCAAGGCACTCGGGCCCACAGAAGTGTTCAAAACCACGGAGTTCTGCTGTTTGCCTTGGTTCCCGGCTGTAAGAGGTTTAGACCTGTCGTTAGGACATGAGACACGGCTGGCCAGTGCTGAAAGGATGTCAGCTGTGACTCAAACCTGACGCTATCGAATGTACCTCTTACAATGTGTATTGCAGTTTAGAGCTGGGTATGTCAGAGGGTCGGGTGGCCTGCACATTCCTCCCCAGATGCTCTAGCCTGAGACAGTGAAGACACCGGCCCCATCTAACCGGTGCAGTTCGGTCAAGTTTACTTTTTATTTGACTGTTTATTGGGGATCTGCTGTGGCTCGGGCTGGGTGCTCCCTAACCAGGAGGCAGCTATTTGAGTGAGTGAGGACTATGAAGTGTCCCGTGGGGGGAGAAAGGTCTGTCGCTTCACCTGGGCTCGCGGGGAGAAGGCTGGGGAGGGCTTTAAATGAGGCGACACTTGATGACAAACCCAGCGACCTGCGTGTAACTCCGAAGTGTGCGGGGGAGGAATGTGAGCACTCCTCTGTGTCCAGGGCACAGTGTGCATGTGGCCATTCAGTCCTTAAAAATGCCTTTTCAAAGCTGGGAGCGTGGAGCGACATTTTCTTACAGAAGAGCAATATGAAGGAAGCTTTTTCAGTACGAAGTTGAAGTAAACCGGCAGACCAGACATCTGGAATTTTGCTGAGTGAACAGGATTACTAGGTCCTACTAAGAAAGTAGGCTGAAGGTTTTAGCAAAATAGAAAATTTTAATATTTACATATGGCACAGTGATGTCAAGGCCCTTAACTTTAAAAATATTTTTTTTAACCTGCAGAACAAATCTCAGCCTACACTGACATGATTTTTTAAAAAATTATTCTGTACCTTTTTTTTTTCCAGCCCGAGGCTCTCCCCTGCTGTGCTCACAGATATAAGTGGCTCAGCTTCCCTCTGAGAGTAGCGACCGGAAAGGCGGCCCCACCCGCCACAGGTAAGAGAACTCCTCCTTTTCCCTCCTGTCACTGAGAATCCTGCAGCCTCAGGCCTCACACCCAAGTCCAAGCAGCTGCAGGCAAGAGCAGAGATGCTAAGAAGCCCCTGGGATGAGTTTCTCTCCCACCTGGTGCTCCCCAGCCACCTGGCCCACATTTTGGAATGTGGCTCTGGCTTCTGATTTAAGGCCTTTTATACACCACGTGTGTGAGTGCTGGGCGTCTACTGACCCCAGCCAGGGTCCTGTTAGGCAGTTTCAAGTTTTCATCTTGCTCTCAAGGCAGGAAATAGTTAATTCTCTGGGAAACAGATTTGCATCCCTGAGAAGAAAAGATTTGTTCCTCTTTGGGGACATACACCATCATCTTGGCAATTTCATCCAGTGCCTCTTCTGTATACAGGAGCTCCTGGCTCAGGAAAGCATCACGTGCACACAGCCTCACGTGGTGGTACTCCAGTGGCAGGAAGGGGACAAAGAAGTCAATCAGGTTTTCCTTCACAAGGCGGCTGTGGCCAAAGCCACTGTCTGAAATGAAGACCACAGTTACATGGGAACCTGAATCCAGCTGGAGGGTGAGGTGTCCTGACCCTAAGGCCTGGGCAAGGCTTGCTCTCAGGGCCACTCCAGGAGGACTGTCTGCTCTAGAAAGGGTGCCTGGGCTGACACTGGATGTGTGCACAGATGCGGCAGAAGTGGGACATGGCAGAAGGTAGAGCCACCTTCCCTCTGACTGGAGGCCTAGCCCCAGGGTCCACAGGCCACTGCCGGTATCCCCAGGGCCAGGGCAAACTGCTCTCAAAGCATTTTCAGAAAAGGAGTGCAGCTTTCTTGGCATTTTTCTTGTGCCTCCCTGAAGTTGATGAGATGATTACAAGGTGTGTCCTGTGGTCCTGAGTACCCGGTGGGAGTCAGTTACCTGTGGACGCCACAATCTCAGCCTGGAGGCCGGACTCCAAGTGTTCCATCGTGATATCTTCCCGGGACCATCCAGCCTTCAGCAGACCCAGGACCACCTCATTGATGATGTTGCCTCCAAGGTTACTAAAAGAGACAAGAGCTTGTTAACAGTTTCATCTTTCTATTTAGGCTTCAAGTGGATGGCTTGACACTGAGGCCACTGCACTGGAAGAACAGAAGCTGAGGTCTGGGGCCGCCTCCTGCAAAGGTCTGTACAAAAGAGACATTGTCCGGTCTTGTCACCCTGCCTTGCTCCCTTTTGACAAACACAGACTGCTGGGTGCCGGGAGCCCAGGGGGGTGCTGAGGTTCTCTCCGTTGACTTCCATGTGTATGTGACTCCAGGACAGTGTGGCAAGTGCTAATGTAGGAGAAAACTTCAGAGGGAGGGGAAGTTTAGGAGGCACAACTCGAGGGAGAGTGAGAAAGGTCATTAAAGAAAACATCTGTTTGCCTTGAGCTGCCTCGCCCTAACGGAAGTGGAATATAGAAGGATGGCGACATGTGCCTGTGTCATCATTAAGCAACTAGAATTTCAGGTCTGAAGCACAGGAAAGAGGACTGGGTTAGGGATATGGAGAAAAAGGATGAGAAGAAATCTTAGTGGCACCAACAGGGACGCTGGGAAGGAGACGGAACACCTGGAGTTGGCAGGGCTGCCTCTCTCTCTTCCCTCCCTTCGGGCTCCTGCAGCTCCTAAACCAGCCAGGCTCTCCCTAGGAAGCTCTGCCTGGCTCTCTGAAGCTCCCAGGTACATTAACTCAAGTGTCTGTTCGTTTGAGTGCGGCCTGTGTGCCAGGCTCTGGGGCACAGAGAAGCAGCTGACTGGTTTCATCCATGCCTAGCAGGTAAGCTGACCATCTAGCCAAGTGATCCAGTGCCTCCTTGCCCAGCTGGCGGGCCTGTCAGCAACAAGGGGAGTCCCTGTCCCATTGCGTAAGTTCAGCTGCACGTAGGGAAGCTTCTGCCCCAAGGCCTGCCAGGGAGGTCATCGCTGCACACGCAAGTGGCTGCACTTGCATCGGCTGAGATAAGACCTGCCCACAGATTGCCCCATCAAGGGCAAGGGGGGCATGTGTAGGACTTGCGTACGTGGCCCCAGGAGCACAGATTCCAGTGCCTTCCCCGTTTCTGCCCGAAGCCATCTACCTGACACGAAGTTTCTGGAGAGCAGGAGCTTAGCCTGTTTGTGACCACCGTGCATAGCACATGGCAGGCGCTCAGTGGATAGTTTTGTCTCCACTTCCCTCCAGATTTCTCCTCCTGTTTTGTCCTGCAGCCGCCATCTCACCACGACATAACCTGGGCCCCTTCTCTGTTCACTCTCCTTGTCCTTAGGAGCTGCTGCGTTGGCACCAACTTTAGACAGGGGTTGCCTTCCTCAACCTCCCAGGTCACCTGCTGACAGGGTCTGAAGGGACCGGTCACCTCTAGAGACTAGCCCTGGCTCTGGGGTAGGGCAAAATGTAATCTCAACAGCCCTCAGAGCCCCACAGGCCTTTCCAGAACGCTCATCTCTGAATCCTCATTTGTAGACAACTTAAGATACCCTCCTTAGGTTCTACAGTCAACATACATGCATTTTTTTCTTCACTGGGGTACAAGTCCTTTCTCTTCTTTTCCTGACAACAGTGCAGAGAGAACAGCCATGAACGTCCCTCTCTACCGCTGCAGTGAGAAGTGGACAGTCCCTTTGCTCTCGGGAGTTCCAAGGTCCTGCCTGTGGCCACCTGGAGCCTTCCATGCTTGTAGAATAGGTGGAGGCAGGCAGTGTGAGTGTTCTGGCCCAGAAGACTCGGCTCTGAGGGCTGAGGCAGTCTAGGCCCCCACACCCTACATGTCCTGTTTCAAGCACCACCTCCTTCTGCCTT